CATATTTTGATGCTGTAGAAGAATGCTTGTCGAGTCTGAGTACAGGCTTCACATTGTTGAGACCACTTCCTGCAGGGCGCTCAATGTCAGATTCCATCATCAGCACCCACTCAATTGAAGCTTGCCTTCACTGGCAGTGCCGTCATAATATTTGGAGTGACTTGCACGAAAGCAGCAGGCTTGACCATGTGATCCAAACCTCTCATTACAGTGCAGTTGTCTCAGGTGAACTACTATGTCATGGTCAACTACTATGTCATGGTCATGAACTAGGCTCACAAACAAATTCAGGCCACCTGCACACATGGCAAGTGCATTGAGTTGTCAAATTAAAGCTAGTGTTTGACGTACTGACAAACTCAAGCTTGAGGTAAACTATGAGTAGAAACGCCACACCTTCCCCCTGAACCAGCCTCACATAGGCATTGACCGCCAGAAGCTGCTGGCACTGGCCTTGGGCTCAGGCGTTGCAAGCTTTTCCAAAGTGTTTCTCGACAATGGGGCAATAGGGCAATTGGTCCAAACAATGGGACATTTGACTGCTTATTCTGTGCAACCCTGGGACTCTGCAAAAAAATGTCACCATACACATGGCACATTGCTGTCAGCCCATAGCTACTCAACATAATGGATTCAGGGAACGACTGCCTGTGACTGTGCCAGTGAGAGTTGGAAAACATGCGTGATGTGATATCCTTGCTGAGATTGGGTGGCCTACAAAGGCCTACAGTTACAGCCAATCTAGTGAAGTCGACACAGGAAGATGTTTCTGCTAATCTGTTCAGTATCGCCCTTTGCCAAGGAAGAGGTCGAGTTTCCAAGTGCAACAGCTGAGCAGGAGATGCGGCTCGAGTCAGACAAAGAAACATTATTGCAACAATGGTATTATTCTGCTCGTTCACTGTTTGGTCCACACTCAAATTGCAACCCTTGGGCACAAGCCGGGCCGTATTTGCATTGTCGCCAAAGCCCTGAGCGCTTGTGAGGGAGGGGTGAAGAAGTTGTTGGGGGCAGGGGTGACTCACAAAGTAATTGAAGGAGCTGGCCACTATCAGACTCTGAACCTGGCTGGCGGCCCAGTATGGTGCATGTCCATCAATTTGTCTCGAGGCTCATGCAATGCAAAGTGTTTTGAACCCTCAGCAGCAAGATGTATCACTGTCAGGAAAAATCAAGAACATGTCAGCGAGATGCATCACAGGCAAGCCATGCTCACTCAGACCTTGCTCTCCTGCAGGGTGATGGGTGGGGTGCTCAGTGTGGCATTGCCTTTTGGGCGTTCTTCATTTCGATCGGCTTGCTTGCACGTATGAAACAGAACACTGTATCACACATCTTACACATGCAGGGCCGCCACGCAAAGAAGGATTTGAGGGCAATAAGGAGTCACAAACAGGTACTATTTTAGTACCTGGCCAGGCCCCTTACAAGTACCAATGGCCAGTGCGTTGTGCAAGCTGAGCACAATCCCGTGGTGAGTTAATTTGGGAGGCAAGCTTGTGCATTAGTTCTCATCGGATGTTCTTGTCATGGCATTCTCCAACATTCAGTCAGAAGAGTTGCGAACCATTTCAACACTCAACCTGTAAACGTGCAGCAGAGTAGCAAATCAAAACATGTCCTGTCATTGCCATTGCAGCTCGTTGAAATTTTGCTACTTTGCTGCATAGCTTGCAGGCATTGTTCCTACCTGACTTGACTCTTCTGGCTGTTGTTGAAGAACGATCTTCAGGTCAATGTGTTTCCAACACACCAGAAACCTCCAGATCAAAACATTGTTCCAGAGCGGTTGCCCATGCATGTACAACCTTGAATCTGCCATGACTGGGGAGAAGTATCCAACATATTGCCGTCACTGTTTATCTCTGAAGCACGTTTGACAGGGCAGCGCCGAACACAAGTTTGATGACTTCTCCTTCAGCCAACTGCTTCCAGCTCAGTTTGCCAGTTGCCCTTTTCTTTGAGGTTTGGGATGCGCCTTATGGAGTCCCTTTCTGCATCATACGCTGCAGGTGCGCCGGATTTTTCAGCCGACAGCCCCTCCATGATCGCATGGCCTCGAACTCAGAGCAGCCAGCCACACATACTGTGAAGCTAGAATTCCCCTGCTGAGGCCTTAGTGCAGCTGCCATCGTGTTGTATGCTCAGCTCTTTGTGTTGCTGCAAGGGAAGCATGCATTCACTCACCTTGACAAAGCTACTTTGCCAGCACTTGCCATGTCTTTTTTCACCAGCTACGCTATGAGACTTAGAGCCGAAAGCCTTGTGCACAAGGCTCCTGGCAGTCTTTTCATCATCTTCCAGACGCTGGCACCAGCTAGAAGCCCAGAGTCTGCATGTGTGGGACACATTGTATGGCATTCCCTGCATCTGACCGACTGTGAATGTCTTTTATGTTGGCTCTAAGAATCCAGTGTGTGGACATTATGTCACGGTTCCAAACAGTCAGCATCAATCTAAGATGCACATAGCATTGATCTAAGATAGCACACAGCATCAATCTAAGATAGCGCATCAATCAATCTAAGATAGCACCGAACACTCAGCCATCTAAGATAGCACCGAACAGTCAGCAATCTAAGATAGCACAAACAAAGACGTGCAACAAGCGCTGTCAGCAATGCTGGTGCCTGGGAGGCATTTGGCTGCGATTGTGCAGGCTTCTGCGAAGCCCTTTGCCGTTGGGCCTGTACGCCCGATGGAGGTCCCAGAGGCATTGGTGGGCAACAAATAAAGGTTGGGCTAGCCTTCTTCTTCAAAGTGTACTAAAAAACATGACCCTGTTCATTTGCTCTAGACATACTCAGAAGTAAAGCTGTTACTGGTTGAGTTACGTAGATCTAAGCTACTGATGATCTGCTTGTTATGGCCCGGATTGTTTTCCTCCACCTGCTCCTGAATTTTTGGTGGAATTCAGGCACTTCCTGTAATTTGATGTTTGAGGGAAGTCCGCCTGGCAGGATGAGAAGCCAGAGATTGTGACACCGCCGGAGGGGCTTGTGTCTGAGGAGGAGCAGCAGCCGCTGGAGGTGCTGGACCAGCCACGGTGCTCGGCGGAGGTGAAGCAGGAGCTGCATTCCCCTACCAGCCCGGCAGCTGAGAAGGCATCCTCGGAGAAGGAGTCGGAGGACAAGGACAAGGGCAAAGACAAGGGCAAAGACACGGGCAAAGACACGGGCAAAGACCAGGGCAAAGACAAGCGCAAAGTCAAGGGCAAAGTCAAGGGCAAGGACAAGACGTTCAAGCCCATGGCCAAGCCCAAGGCCAAGCCCAAGACATCGTCTTCCTCATCATCATCATCTGTGGCACAGCCTGCAAGGCCAGAAGCCACGTCGCAGCTGCAATCGACACTGGAGGAGATTGCGGACCTTCTCTTCAATGTCACACGGATGCTCAAGCGGCAGGAGAAAAGAGCCCCTAGCCTTCAAATAATCAATTTCTAGTCAGTGTTGGTTGTCATGTTCAGTGCAGATTTGTGATGTCACACCAGCAACTGTTTGAGACAAGTCACTCAGTGTTGAGCTTTCGTTCATCATGCTGGGAATGCATGTTCTCTCGCAATGAAACTCAGGACACTGAGCGGATGATCATCCTCCGTGAGTTGCATAGCCGTGAGGCCCGTGCGTCTCATGCCTAGAGATGGCATTGAGAGGTAGCCTGAAGCCTGGGATTTTTGGTGCAGGGCATGATGTACACCCTTCAAAAGTTGGCTTGAGCAACAAGACAAAAGCAATACGAAACACAAACATACACAGGGGGCATTTATGTGAGGCTCCTCAGAGACTCAGCCAACACATTGAGAGCGCTAAGGCACTAGGTTCAGGTGGAATGTTGCTTCCAGGCCTCAGGTTTGACCCGAAATGCTGGTCAACTTTGTTGGTGTTTTGCAGCGGTCACATTCGAGCCTCCGGCATTGCATGGACAAAAATATCGATGTGAACATGGCCATGCAGCTACATAGTTTGTGTCAGGGCTTGTGCACTTTGCATGAGTGCATACATTCAACTTCATTTCTGCAATACTCAGGTCAGCATGCATACAATGCCTCCTTGTCCAGCTGGAATCGATCATCAACATGGGACATGTAGCACTGCCAGTAACTGATAGCTGGTTGTTCATCCTGAGGCCACTTGAGGCTTTGATTTGGCAACAAGGCCTGCAGTGAGCCAGAGCCTGAGCTGAGTTTGAGATTTAACACTCACCATGGCAACACAGACTAAGCGGTGAGATTGGCTGGCTAAACAGGTCCATCATGAAACAACTGACGAGTCAATGCATGAACAGTTCTCAGATTCAACTGTGTGCCTTCAGCCATGGCATGAGCTGCACCTTTGTACTGGCAGGCCATTGGTTCTCTACTGCGCAACGTGACCCACAGAGAACATCAACCAGGCTGGCACTCAGCATGTCCTCATTGTTCACCACCAAAATGGTTTAGTGCCAAGTCTAGTTGACACACTTTGAAATGAGTTTGTTTAAAAATTCGGGGAGGGTGCCAGGATGTGACAACTCATTTCATAATGAGATCACAAGAAATGGCACTACACACCCTGGCCAGTGCCATTTCTAAAGAGTCTCATTTGCAAATGAGTTGTTGTCCGATGAGTTGCTGGACAATTGAAGTTTTGGTGGAAACCTGGGCTGCAAATGAGTTTTTGAATGATTGTGCCACTTCAGAGGGTGGTCCCTTGATAGCCCCCAAATTGGCACTAGCCACCCCCACTAGTGCCAAGTCTGAAGTAAAGGGTATGAGCATGCTGCCAAGTCTAACACATATATTAGATGACCTAAAGAAAAGGCAGCATCTCATACTTGTTACTTGAGAATTGGCACTGGTGGGGGTGGGTAGTGCCAATACTTAGCCATGCCCATCACATACTGTTGAAGTGGCACAAGCATTCAAAATCTCATTTTCTGGAAGGGACACCATGAAATTGCAATGTTCAATTCACCGTAGCTGTGGTTGCCTCAGTAGTGTCTGAAGCAGCCCAGTGTGTGCAATGTGGGGGCAGAGCAAGGAGCTCAAGGCTGTCACTGCCAAGCTTGAGGCTTGGGCACAGGACACCTTCGGTGGCAGTGGGAACCCTGAAGTGGACGACGCAGTGGATGCTTGCCATGGGCTCATTTGATTGCTACTTTGAATGGCTTGCCACAACTTATGATGCATTCAATCATCTTTCATGTCTGGAACTGCCTGCTTCTAGGTGACTACTTGTCGAAGCTCTTTGGCGGGAACCCTGCTGCTCTCAAGGACACATTTCAGACGCTGCTGGTGCGGTTGGACAAGCTGCAGCCCCAGCATATCTTTACGCGGCATGCCACACAGGCCACTGTTCCTTCCCCCGACGATGAGTCCGTGGAGCTGTATCTCAATCCTTGGCACTTGGGATATGAGCCATGCTTCTCACTCAAAGGCCCATCGAAAATGGTCTACATCTTGAGGCTCTTCCGAGAGTTTTTGGAACGCCCCTTTGACTCGGCCAGCAACCCCATACTGATCAACTTCAAGGGTTTGCAGCCTGGTGCTCCAATTCCGTCCTTCCAGGTGTCCATCTCCATCGGCTTCACAAAGAGCATCGCGATGAAGCTCATTTTGCTTGGGGCCATCCAGACCAACTTGACCGATGGTGAGTTGACCCTGTTGGCGCCACATTTGCGTGCAATGTTCGCCTTCAAGTGCATCTACAGGTCCACTGGCAATGCCAAGGAGGACAGATTCAGGGCACTGCAGGAGAAGTTTTCTGAGAGCAGCAGGCCACGACCTGACCCGGTGCAAATCTCAGGAATCCTGCTGCAGCAATGTGTTGAGGAGGGACGGGCTTGGAAAGATGGGAGTGGTGACCTGATCGCACAGTTCAATGCTGGCTCCGGGGTGGACTGCAAGCGCTTGAGCGACTTGGAGCAGACGGTTGTCACCATGTACCCCAACCTGATGCAGGAGTCCCAGGAGCTGATCGCTTACCACTGGAGCAACTACCCAGCGAAAAACAGTGGCCTCACCTACAAGCAGCTTGCGTGTGAACAGGTTCGGTGCGGCAGCAAGCCTCGAATCGACTGCGAACTCTGGCGGAGCATCTTGAGCACGGACATGGTCAAGGTGCATTGGTTTGTGGCCAGGCGCGTCAGGTATTTTCTCCACAAGCTGGGTGATGCCAAGCGTCTTCGCAAGCGTGTCAACTTGACTGCAAATGCAGCTTCCTTCAGGGACCAAAAGGATGATGAGACGTGCTGGGCAATCACTTGCTTGTTTGTGCACTACCTGCCAGCCTTCAAGGAGCTCTTGACCGCGGCCCAGATGGATTCCTTGGGGAACAAGTTCATCCGGGGCTACTTGGACATGGAGCTTGTGGAGAAGTACAGGGTTGCTGACCCTCAGTTGACTGCATCTTCCTTCAGGATGTTACAGGAGTTTGGAGTGAAAAGTGGGGTGGCCATCAAAATCGATGAGGCAAAGGCCGACCTTGACTTGCAGAAGGCAGAGCTCAACACGGCGATTGCCAAGCTGAACAAGGAGCAGAAGAAGTTCTTGGATTTCAAGGAGTCGATGGCCAACTTTCAGCGAGCTGGCCTGGGACTGCAGGCAGAGTTGGTGGACAAGCAGAAGGCATCGCAAAGGGCTGCAGTTGAGGTGCACCAGGAGACACACTACCCGCTTCGTGATCTAGCTGAGCTTGGCCATGCCACCACGTTCGTTGAGTCCTGTGCGAACCGCTTTGCCAATGAGGCCGGCATTGCCGATGAGGAGTGCCACAGGATCTTTTGGTTGAACAGCTCCACCTTGGGGTGCGACGCCGTGAAGAACACCATTGAGGCGATCAAGGAGTTCTCTGGTCACATTGCCTCGGACCCTCGCCGAAGCTGCATGATCATTGCAGCCCCAACCACTGGGGCTTTCGGCAACGAGTACTCAGAACATGATGTTCATGAGCAAGCGCTCAAGATCCTGGATGCCTTGAGAGATGTGGACAACAGGTTGTTGGTGAGAGAGATCACGGTGGTTTTTGACCCCAGCACGATCCCGGCTCAAAGCAAACGGCCTGCCAATCACAAGTTCTACATGGCTGTCAGTGATCAGGTGGGCACAGACAAGGAGCTGTTGTCCATCTACAGCAAGTCTGTCTTGTGGAGGAGACAGACAGTGCCTTGCACAAAGCAATCAGCCCAGTGCATCATGAACCCGATCAGGAACTATGTGGATCCCAGGCGAGATTTCTCAACTGCTGGTTCCACAGGGCCCGGAGATGTGAGCCGACCGGCAAGGCGGAAGCAATGGCTTTCGGGATGGACGCTGCCTGCGGCTTTCCTTGATGGCATCTGGCTCAGCATGGGAAAAGGCCGCAACTCGATGGTCGCCTTCATCGACGTGTTTGCCTATGATCACAGCACGGCAGAGTGCGTGATGAGGAGGAGCAGCAACAGCACTGAGCCCATGCATTTGTGGATAGGCACATGCTGGGCCGAAGCAAACACCCGGGATGACCATCAGCAAGGCAAGCGAGTTGAGAATCAGAAGATCTCGAGATGGTTGCTGGTGGCTGTCAGGCGGAGGCTGCAGAACATGGCCGAGCAAAGCATCATGAAGATCCCGAACTGGGAGGCCTTGGCGCAGTTTGTTGACAACCGCACTACACCAGTGCTGCAGGAGAGCGATTTCCAGGTGACCTTCCCATCAGGTGCCGACACCCTTCCCTTCACCCAGAAGTTCTTGAATGTAATGTCGGAGAAGCTGGTCACGGATGACCTGAAGGAGCAGTGGGCACAGGTGGTGCAGGATCACAATGCCTTGTACAACCCTCAGGGCAAGGCGTATGATGGGACGAAGCGCGCAGCCGAGGGGGGAAGCGCAGATGGGCCCATGACCAAGAAGCAGAAGACCAAAGAGGTGGTCACGGTGGAGGACAGCCTGGAGGACATCAAGAAGAAGCACAAGGTTACGGCATTTGCATATGGTGGAGGGCAAGTTGTCATTGCAAGTGACGGGCACATGTGGTTTGCAGCCGGGGAGGCAAAGGCCACACTGTCACCTATGGACCCACCTTTGGCCTTGGTGTTTGGCAGCTTCAAGATCAATGAGGACTTTCTTTCAGCACGCGCCGTTTCTTGTTTGCCTCAATTATGAACAGTTTGCCGGCCAGGATGCAAAAAAGATCATGCAGGGCAAGGCGTTCTACTACGAGGTTGGCTTCAGCAATGATGAGGTGATGGGCCACTTTCGCAAGGGCGAGGAGCCGGGAGAATCTGCCGAGACCTTGCGAAGCTTCCTGTCAAAGCTTGAGTCCGGTGGCAAAGACATCTCCAGCCTCGAGATTGCATGCCACAAGGTTGAGCCCAAGATTGAGAAGGCCTGCTATCATAAAGATTGAGAGTTACCCAATATTTGATACCATTGTGTTTGGTCACAGTCATGATTTGTTGCTGCACGCAGGATGCTGCAGGCGATGTGACCAAGCGGGCATTTGAAGTGAAGGACGCGTCTGCCATTGTGTTCAGCCCGCAGCCCGCACCACGAAAGGTTGCTTCTTCCAAGCCTCCGACTTGGGAGGATGCTGGCAGCCTGCTGTTTGCTGCCTCCTCGTCAGTCTTGGAGGAGTTCAAAAAGCAAGAGCTGATTGTGCTGGGCCAGCGATGGGCGGTGACTTCGTCAGAGCAAAGCTGGGGAATGAACCCAGACAAGCCCGGCCTGTACCCGGCATGTGAGCTTGAAGTTCCTGCAGGCAAGATTGCCAAGCTAGTGTAGGCTGCCATGCAGGCCACTGAGCCGACCTGATTTTGGCACGAGCAGGTAGGGCCAACAACTGTGCAGATCTGATCAATCAGAGAAAGGGTGAAAACACTGTCAGCCGGCTTGTGACTGCCTCCATTGCATCTTGTGACAGATCTTTCATGGAATAATGCCAGTGTGTGTGTGTGTGATTGCTGAGCATGTCACAGTTGGTCTGATTGGTTGAAAATTGCCCATTGCAGGTTGTACTCTTGCAGCTTTTGCAGTGCTGACTGGAGCGCCCTGCCCCTTTGCCAGAATGGCATCGTTCTTCATGAACAATGAGGACCTGGAGGGCCTCGAGGAGGTTGAGAACATGGACTGGATGTCCCCTGGCCCGAGCAAAGCTCAAGATCCTGGACAAGGCAAAGCTGCAGCTGCCCCGTTGCCACCTGTGTCTACGACTCCTTGGAGGGGAAGTGCATGGCCAAGCTGGTGCACACCGTCGCCCACAGGTCGCCCTGATGCTGGCACAAGTTCAAGAATGCCGCCATCTGCCAAGAAGGCGGCTGAGCACCATTCGGCTCTGGCATTGGCTTATGCCAAGAAGGCAGCTACGGAGAAGGAGGAGGCAGCCTGCATTGCGGCCAAGGCAAAAGCCCAGATGCAGCTTTCTCTGTGCTCAAGCGACAAGGCCACAACCCTAAGACTGCCCAGGAGCTTGAGAAGTCTATGGAGAAGCCTCAACGAGAAGACTGTGGAAGCCCTGAGCCCACGAAGATCATGGCGGCCACTGCGGAGACAACAGATGATGGTCCTTGTCCTGTCGAAGGTCCTGAGCCCCCTGCAAAGAAGCGCAGAGCAGCGAGGGGTGAGGCTGGCACTTTTGCTGGCAATCGCCCACCGACCAGTGAAGAAGGCAGAGAGTTGTTTCAGCTCAAGAAGGTCTTGTACAATGAGACGCGGGAGGAGCTCCAGAAGAAGTTCCCTGGAAAGTTGATCCAGATCGGGAAGACTGCCACGCAACAGAGGTACTGGGAGCATGTGCGGCATCATCTCAAGAAAGCCTTGCCCAACTGCGACTGCAAGTTGGCTGACAAGAGGCCTTCGAAGCCAGAAGTCCGCGCTGAGCTGAAGAAGGCAAGTGAGAGCTGGAAGAAGGGCCTTCAGGCCAAGTTGGCCAAGTAGTCAGCCCAAGAATGCCTGACTGAGGCCTCAGATTTAGTGTTACTTCACATGTAGATAGGCTTGCCTGCAAGCAGCCCGAGCCTACAGATCCGGGGGGGGGTGGTCTGTGCGAGTGACTGTGATGCCAGCCTACTGGGGTGAAACAGTGCCATCAGATCACTCTTTGCATTTGTTGATGAGTGCAGCATGTCCGATCATGTCATCATGCTTGACATGTTGCAAATTACAATGTTGAAGTTGGTTGTTTGCCGTGATTGTGACTTGACTTCAACTTGATGTTATTTGCAGTGGCAGCATGTTCGACTCAATGACTTAGTCACTTGCTGGCCCGGAGTCTTCAGCAATGGCCTCAAGGGACCCAAGCTGGATGACACCACCCGTGCATGAGCCCAGGGCTGGACGACATCAATCTGATTCTGTCGCACACCAGCCTGCCTGGATGACACCGTCGGTCTGCACAGATGCAGAGTGTGGGCCGAAGCGGAGGCGCGTAGAGGTTGCCACTCCAAAGTGGATTCAGCCGCCTGTTTGTCGCGAAGATTCATCTGCAGCAGGGCCGGCAAAGCAGCAGCAGTGGTCAATGGCAGAAATTGATGGCATTGTTGTCTTGTGGGAGCCAACTGGCAATTGAGACAGTGGACATCAAGAATGAGCGGCCAAAGGTTGAGATGCTTTGCAAGAAGCCGTGCAGCATGGGCAAAAGCAAGCAGGGAACCTGCAGTGTTTGCGAGCCTGGTTTGGACGTACAAGAAGCACTTACCTTTGTCAAGGTGTGGAAATGTATGACTGGTGAGATGAAGGGCCATCTATTGAGTACAGTGTACCAGACAGGCAATGAGGACTTTGCAGCAAGCCGTGTGAAGTGGCGCTTTTTGGGCAAACGCACTTGCGTCGCACGTCTGTGTGCAATTTTGTCAATGACGCCTCGGACCTGTTACAAATATGTTCATGGAGTGACGGATGGACGAAGCAGGAACTTTGGCCACGTGACTCCTGCTGGCATCAGTGTAGACCAATTTTTCCTGGAACTTTATCACAGTGCAGCTGAGTTTTTGCCGGAGAGCACACAGTTTCACATCGACGACGTGGATTCAGCAATTGAGGAGACGGAAGGCATGACGCGAGAAGAAGTTGCAGTTTTGAAAAGGCTTGCTGAGGAAGAGAGCGACCTGCTGCCTTTGGTGGGGTGTGATCCGGAGAAAACCTTGGTCAGCAACATGGCAGTGCCTGCCTCTTGTACCTCTCTGCCAATCAGATACATTCAGCACCAGCACGTTGTGGATGTGTGGTGGTTCTACTTGTCATGGATGAGCTGCAGGGCACCTGACACGAATCCAGCCTCCTGGTCTACATTCTGGCGAAAGTGGGTCTCTTGCCTTTTGGCTGGACTTGTAAGTTTTGGGAGGTGGTTGGAGTCAATTGCTTGGCTTTTAAAATTTTCTCATTGCCCTGAACCTTAGCCTTCACTCCTAGGCTGGTCCTTCAACATCGGCCTGAGAAAGAAGTGCCAGCATGCACAGTGTGATGTGTGTTGGGAATTCAGTCAATTCATTCATGCTGGGAGAGCAACACCTGCCGAGAAGCGCTTGAAGGCAGCCGAATGGCAGCATCACATCAAATCTCAATATGCTGACAGAGTCATGTACTGGCATCTGAGATGGGCCAGCCGGGCCCCAGACAGCTCCATTCTTTGTTTGATAGTCGACGGCTTGGATCGCTCGAAGGGCACATTTCCGCAGTGGTCATTCCGGGCGCCGAAGGTTCTTGAGAAGCAGCATCGCCCACGACTCGTCATCCATGCTTGCATGAGTCACGGATACTCTTGTGATTTTTGGATTGCGGACGAGGAGGGGACTTTTCATGGGGCTTCTTATATCCTTGAGATCCTTGTTCGGTCCCTGGCACGGGTCAACGAGATCCGGGCCAGGCAGGGCTTGCCGATGGTCCGGCATCTTTGCGTCCAGTCAGACAACACAGTCGCTGCATGCAAGAATAGCGAAGTGTCGCTATTCATGGGAGTTGTAGCTCGGCGATTCGGCTTCGACACGACAAATGTCTTCTACTTGCGCAAGGGGCATACGCACGAGGACGTGGACTTCGTTTTTTCCTTGCTGCTTGCCAGAGTTTTGAGGCGAATCAGGATCCACACTCCACTTGATCTTGTGCAAGGGATCCATGCTGGAATGGAGTCCTTGCTGGCGAGCAAGGGCTATCAGTGCTACGTGGAGCACATCACACACGTTCGCGACTTTGGGCAATGGGTTGGAGCAATGGGCATCAAGCCATACAATTGCTTTGCGAATCGCCGTCACACCGAGACACCTCACTCTTTCACTTGGAAGTTCAGAATGGACCTATCGAGGGAAGAAGTTCTGCAAACGGGCAACTCACCTTTTGAGGTACACCCCCTTGATATTTTTTGCATCTGCAAGCAGTTCATGGCCGATCGCGCTGGTCAGCCGCCAGTCTTGATGATTCCCAACTGCCGGTACGTCACAGCAGCCTTGACTCCCGCTCCGACAAGATCAATACAGTTGCAGATTGATGACAAGCGAAAAAAACAGCTTCGACAGATGGCAAACCTTTTGGAGCAACTCTCAGCAGAGTGGTCAGCAGACCACTCCTTTTACCGTGCAGCTGCAGAGCTTCGGGTGATGGCCAATGGACGACCGCAGGTACCATCGCGAGATGGCTTTTTGGAAAGCATGGCTGCAATAGCCGCAGATCATCAACGGAGACCTCTGACACTGAATGTCTGGCACCCAGTAGTTGCCCACATTGGATTGGAAGTTTGCATCATGAACTTGAGTGTCTCAATGAACATGTGAGTGTCTCATTGATCTGTGCATTTCGGTGAATCGTATGAATGTCTAATTGCACATGCGACAAGAGTCTTGTTGCCAAGGCCGGGCCATACTATCCTCACCTGCCTGCGATCTCCTGGCAAGTGATGGTGAAGTTTTGAAAGAAGTGTAATTTGGCAGATGACAAGGAGAGAAGTTGAAAGAGAGTGAAAAGCGGTTGTGATTGTGTGGCTGAAGCTAATTGATCAAGTTTGATGCCTTGAGTCACAACGGATTGAAGCATGACGCTTGATTGCAACGACCGCAATTTGCTTCTCGCATGTTGTCATATGTGCCATTGGTCAGTTTTGATGGCCCAAGCAGCTGCATCATGGCATCTCTGTTTGGCCACACGGCCAAGAGCATTGTAGAGAATCCCGAGTTTGCGCCCCTCAATCGAGACCTTCAGGTGTGCGAGATATTTTCAGGAGTGGGGTCCATCCATCGGGCTGCCACCAAACATCATTTGTTCAGTGCTGAATATGACATTGAGAGGCAGCCTGGTGTGACTGATACGGGCTCAGCCCAGAGTGAAGACTTTGGCTGCAAAGCTGGCTTTGAAAATGCGGTGAAGCTACTGATGAGGTTGGAGGAAGGTGGGCTGTGCTTCCTTGCTCCCAGATGTGGGCCTTGGATGTTCTTGAATGTGCACAACACCAAGCGAGGAAAGAACAACAAGTACTGGGGCAACACCAGAAACAAATCAGTTCAAGCTGCCAACAACATGGTGCAGGGCTGCATCGTTCTGATCGAGCTGGCAGAGCTGAGAAAACTTCGCCTGGGCTATGAGAACCCGACCAAGAGCTACATGTGGCACTGGCCACCTTTGCGGGACACTCTCAAGAAGCTGGGCTATGACACTGTGAACACTCACAGGTGTGCATGGGAGCCAAGGAAAAAGGGCATGCGGCTTTGGAAGAAGTACCGCTTTGCTGGCCAGGGCGATTGGATCCAAGCATTGGTGAAGCCATGTCCTTGTGGTGATCAGGGGCATCTCAGGACGACAAAGAAGTACACAGATGCCTCTGGGAAGAAGCGCTGCCAAGGCATCAAAAAGCGCTTGAAAGAAAGTGCGAGCTACCCATCTCTCCTGGGGCAAGCCATTGTGAAAGCATGGCTGAGCAGCAGGCATGATGGTGATCAAGCATCATCGACAGCGAAGCTTGCGAAGGGTGCGAAGGTGCAGAAGGTGATGAAGGCAATGAAGGCAATGAAGGCGGTGAAGGCCAACAAGGCCAACAAGGCCAACAAGGCCAACAAGGCCAACAAGGCCACGGTGAAGAAGGAGAAGGTGAAGAAGGAGAAGAAGGAGAAGGTGAAGAAGGAGAAGGTTCAGAAGCCGCCAAAGGTTCAGAAGGAGAACACTCCCTCCTGGCTGACACCTTGCTTGCAGAGTGCTTCTATGAGCATTCAGAGACCACATGTGCCATGCTCTGCTGGCCCTTCATGGCTGACACCGCCTTGTGAAACAAAGAGGGTGCAACAGAAAGCCCCTGCCCCGATGGCATGGATGCAGCCATCCATCAGCTAGGTACTGTACAGATCCAATCAGCGACATGTTGAAAACTGTGTGGAAAAAAACTTGCCTCCAGCCACCATTTGAAGCTACGAACAATCAATCCCAGTTTTTTCCTAGACCTCTTTTTGAACAGTTCACAAGACCAATGATGTTATGAACCTTGCCAGTATGCAATGAACCACCTGTGCTCTAGATATATGTGCCTTCCTATTGTTGGTTCATTGCATTATTGGCAATGTTCATGTGGCATGTGTTTACCATGAAAGTAATTTCATTGGTCTTGTGAAACTGTACAAAACAGTGGGCAATTCAAGGGTGCTTTGTTTTGGCCTGATCCCACTCCAACTTGGGCTCCACGCCAGTTGCTCTTGCACATCGCTGTCAAGTGTGCCTGGCGCTTCCACAAAGGCGGAAATGTACAAAGACAATTGCACAAGCGACTTAGGGTTCAGAAAAGCAATGTCCACACTCCCTAGCCAACGCTTGTCCTGCATTTGCTGCAGCAGTGGTGAAGATTCCCAAGCTCAGTCACTTCAATGGGAGTCATTGAGTGTTGTTGGCAGAAAGAGTCTGTTGTAAGGGAGCCCCACTAGATGTGCCAAAGAGCTTTGTTGAAAGATGTAACACTGCAATGTCAACACACTGAAGCCCAAGTGTCCAGCCCATCAAGATGTGGGCCAGGAATCTCTTTGGGAAAGCTTAGTGTTAGAGGCAGAGGCATCAATTCAAAAAGCGGTTGGCAGCCCGCACAAGGCCTGAAACCTGCCATTGCGAGCCAGGAATGGCATCAGTCATCCTCAATATCAGGCCCGTGTGTGTGTGCTGCCCCATCAATCTACCTCAGGTGTCCCTCTCGTCTAGTAAACATATATTCAAGGGTTCATGTGCCAAGAAAGGGATGCATGTACCAATAAACCATGGGCTGTGAACAGCACTGTCACTACTGCGATTGAGGCATTTGCAAATAGTTTGTCAGGTCTTTCATGTTGGCCCCCTGTAGTGAACAAGCGAATGCAGCCGGGCACACTGCCTTCAAGATGCCTCCCACCACCCAGCCTTGTGCAGGTCTATCACTGATGCCTAGTGTGGCACTGAGGTCAGTAGGATTTGGTGACCATAACTAAAGTCAAGCTGGGGTTTGTGCCACTTCAACAAGAAGGTTGGCTTTTTGAGCTCCGGAAGGTCCTTGAGACACACGTCCCTTGTTTGCTTGACATGCTGGCACGTCGAGGCCTGAGACTCCATGACCAGAGCCATGACCTGGCAGGCACGGACCTCCCCTTTCGGCCAAAGAACTGGGGTGTTTTTTCTCCAGAACTCTGTTTCCAATGTGACATTGCCATACGAGCTTGGCCTGTGTGTGGGAAATGCCTTATCGCACCAGTGCTGAGTATCTTGCAGCCAGTGCTGTAATTTCGTAGCACTCCACACTGCCAAAAGAAGCGTGCTAGTTCTTTGGATGAGGGTGAATGAAGCTTTCCATTGGCTGTTGCAAGAGAAACATTTTGAAACTGCTCAGTCTCTCATCCTTTGTGATTCATTTGTCTGCATAACCATGGCAAAGCCCTGCCAACTCGTTGTGTAGTTCTGCTTCTTGGTCTCAACAGCTTTAGCCGGACTCTTGTTGAACACATACCATGACCCTGGCACTGAACGTTTCATGGCAATGGCTCCCAAACCAGCTGAAGTGATGTCATTGCACTGTTGACGTGTCATTGCAAACTTCACAGTGGCTATGCGACCAGTTCACAAAGAGAGCTGGAGGAAATGACAGCTGCCCCTTTATTTTGTGTCAGTGCACATAATGCACTACTACTCCAGTGATGCCAGAAGCCATTTACCATCAGTCTCAGAAGGTGCATCCTTTGTTTATGTTCCGTCAAGATGGCACCCCTCCCTTTGCTCTCAAGCACAATGGGTGCCAGAACTTCAGAACAACTATGAGACTCATGTCAAGTCAGAAAAGTTGCACTCACTCTTCTGCTGTTGCTAGTTGCCAAACATTGGATTAGAGCCGAGTGTCTGTTGGATTGATTCAGGACCTGACTGTATCGGCAGCAATGTAGGTTTCCAGTGCTCACAATGTTTTGCTGAAGGCTTCAGATCAGAAGTAGGATTACATCATGTCCATCATGTGACAACAACTACTTCAATCCAGCCCAGCATGATCCTCCCACCCTTGGTCTAGCCTGGATTGCAGCCGTCCGGCCAGGTCATCATTGAGCCAGAGTGAAAAATGTCAGCGCGCAAATGTTCAACATGCTGGAGCTGAAGGGTCCTTAAAATGGTTAGTTTTCAGAGACGTTTGAAAACAGGCCATATTTTGTAAGTTTTCTTTACCCTGCAAAGCTGGATGGGATGACAATGCAGCCCTAATCTTTTGTCTGACAATTTCCATGTTCTGGGAAGGGCTGCCATGTCAGGACACCTTGTCACGTATTATACAGTAATGTGTCTATTATCTTAGGTTTCATTCCCTGGCACAGGGTTCACATGCTTGGACCAGGATCGATGGGTCATGTGATTTGTGGTCCTGGTGATGCCTTCAAAGAGTAAGCATGATGCATGAAATGATCACAAGGCATCACCTGGCACAAATCACATGCAGACAGCAAACATGTACTATTATACATATACTTGATTTAATGTGATCGATCCTGGCCTCAAGCATGCGAACTCCATGTGCAGGGAATGAAAAAAGTCCTTATTATGCATAGCTAATCACTTCCCATTGCAACTTGACAAGAAATCCACCCCCCCAAATCCAAACTATCAGATTCAAAAACCAAACTATCACAATCCATGATCATAGGTTTTTTGTCATACCAGAACCACAAACTAGATTGGATGTTCCCTAACGCATGCTACTGCCATGGCTGATTCATCACATCGAACAATTACCTATTCCAAGACGCGGTTGCAGCTTCACTGTGATCTGCCTCTTGCTGCATGCTATCCAACTTGCCATGACCTCAAGTATGCTCGTCATGCTTGATTGTGCAATTCTAAGATGCTTGCCACAAACCACTACACGCATTGAAGGTTCACTCATGCCGACTCTCGCATCGCGGACACCAGAAGCCATTCCTCAGCAAACAAGCAAACAGCAGGCTAACTCTTACAAAGTCTACATGTTGGTGCTTACTGCAGGACAAAGCAAGCTCGCTCCAAGGAGGTACCGTTCTGTTTTAAGAGGGCGCCATGTCTTGGGTGGTGTAAAAGGGAAACCAACAGGGAAACCCAGTTTCGGGGTCATATTCCTCATTATTCCTCTTTTGACCCATGGGTGTCTCTAAAAAGGACACCTCAAAATGTTTATTTTTGCTTAGCTTTAAAGACAACCCCAAAAGAGTGCCCTCTTAAAGGGGAAAACACACACACACACCTATACATATGTATGTATATATATATGTATATATATATGCATATCTCCGCATGGTGCAACGTGCGGTCCGCTCCTTGGTAATCCAGTGGTCCATGATGAGAGACCTCGCTACCGGCCAGAGCTCCTGGCTCTGGTAGGCCTGATATCCTGAGCCAGCGAGAGAACCATGGGTCCTTTCTGCTTGAATACAAAGCATAGAAACCAGCGACTGGAAATGCTACAGGAAATCCTTGTTTTGGGCGGATCCTTGGCCAATTTCCTGCAGAACTCCAGCTACCGGAAATTCTGCAGGAAACTTGCCAAATACCCGCCCAAAAGGCTTCCTGTAGAATTTGCGGTAGGTAGCTGGCTTCTGGGACAACCCCATCTAAGGAAACATCATCCGAGAAAGTGACAAGCCGTGCCAAATTGTGGATGAGCAAACTCCAGCCCCGAATTTGAGCCAAGGAAAGCCCTGGGCTGTTGGATAGGAGGACCCCGAAATTGTTGGTTGTCCTGTTGGGCTTTCTGCAAAGCAAGCTGACAAGAGTACCCTCAAAACCAGACGCTCAACCTACTGATGTGATTTTGTTTTCAAGCCCAAATCTCGTTGGCTTGATGGGGCCACCACATGACTTTGTCGGAGGGCCACCCTTGCCTGCCGGGTTGAAAGGGCAGGGTCTAAACACTGGGGCTGGGTTGCACACACACACACATAATTTCACGGCTTTGGGGATTGCTCAGCTTCACTGAGGAGGAGCTTACGAATCGTGCGGGCATTGCCCTTGGGTCAGGCGTGTAAATCTTTGCAGCAAAAAATCGCCATTCGGCAACCATTGCTCTTTGCTGGATTGCCAACAACTGCAACAAGGCATCTCGGGAAAGAATCAGAAAAGCGCAATGCGATCCAGGGAAGCCTCATCAATCGGGCAACTGGATGTGCTGGCAATATGGCAAACCAGCACCAGCTGACAATACAAAGCCAAAGGACCCATTCTAGTGCTGTAGTCTTTCGGGGAAAAGACTTGTCGCTGAGTGGAAAGTTCGTGGATTGCTCGGGGAGCCTGCAAGTTTGTGGGATTTAGAGTTGCACACTACTGCTTTACCACCCACTTGCTGCGAGTGGTTCAGCCATCATGAGCATGGAGATGGATGCCAATGTCCTCACGTTTCTGAGGCTTCTTATTCCTGGGACAGAAATTGAGCAAGCCCATCCCCACTGAGCTGGGAGGGGGATCATTTTCGAACACCGATTTTGGATCATTTTCGAACACCGATGTCCTGGATCATTTTCGACCACAGAGTGGGTCATTTTCGAACACATGGGGGGCTATCCTGCGGCAGGTGGGGCAGTTACGTTTGCCTCTTACTGCGTGACCGTGCCACTGCGTCCTGGGGGTGGGGGTGGGGGTGGGGTGGGGCAGTTCCGTTCGCCTCTTACTGCGTGACCGTGCGACTGCATCCTGGGGCTGGGGGAAGGGGGTAATTGCGATCGCTGCTGACTGCGTGACGGTGGAACTGCGTATTGGGGCTGGGGGGGGGGGGTGGGGCGGGGCAGTTACGTTCGCCTCTTACTGCGTGCCCGTGCAACTGCGCCCTGGGGCTGGGAAAAGGGGGCCCCGAGTCCCAAGTTACCTTGGCTTTTTGAGCTCAGATGTCCTCGGCGATTTGCGCTCGTTGGCCCCCGTAAAGCCGTGAAAACTCGGCCTAACGGCCGGAATAACTCGCGCGGGAAACTGAAAGGCCGTTACTACTCCGTGAAAAAGCCGTGAAAACTCGTGAAATTTCAAGCTCTGAGTTATCTTGTCATACGGCCTAAGTAGCTTGCGAATCGGAGCCTCCTGGATTTGCGATCGCCGCTTACTGCGTGGCGGCGCAACTGCGTGTTGGGGCTGGGTGGGGGGTGGGGTGGGGCAGTTGCGTTTGCTTCTTGCTGCCTGACCGTGCGACTGCGTCCTGCGGCTGGGGGGGGGGGGGGGATGGGGTGGGGCAGTTACGTTCGCCTCTTACTGCGTGACCGTGCGACTGCGCGCTGGTGGTGATGGTGGTGTTGTTGGTAGTGATGATGACGGTGTTGATGATGGTCATGATGATGATGATGATGATGATGATGATGATGATGATGATGATTATGACGATGTTGATGATGCTGATGATGTTGTTGATGATGATGGTGATGTCGACGTTGATGATGGTAATGGTGATGTTAATGATGATGATGGTGATGATGTTGATGTTGACGATGTTGACGATGTTGATGTTGTTGATGATGATGATGGTGATAATGATGGTGATGATGGTCATGTTGATGGTGTTGGTGTTGATGATGATGATGATGATGATATGGATGTTGGTGGTGATGTTGATGATGGCGATGATGATGTTGGTGTTGATGTGGATGAAGGTGATGTTGCTGGTAGTGATGATGACGATGTTGATGATGTTGACGATGTTGATGTTGTTGATGATGATGATGGTGATAATGATGGTGATGATGGTCATGTTGATGGTGTTGTTGATGATGATGATGACGATGATGATGTCGCTTTGCGTTCCTTGTGCTTTGTGTTCCCGGGTCTACAGTTGACGATTGTCTCCCAAAAGCATGGTGCGTGTTCGTGCGCCTCATCGTGGTGTGCATGGACACTTGGAAAAATGGCCGTGCTGCTGTAAATCACATACACTTGAGGAAAACCGCGTTCAAAAACGAGCCAAAACACGCGTTCAAAAACGAGCCAAAACACGCGTTCAAAAACGACCACCTTCCCCACTGAGCTGCGGGGTTGAGCAACCACTCAAGTGGCAGTCAACCTGGGCAGCATCCCACCCATGATATTGCCATATTATGTGGCAAGCTCGAGGCAGCTGGGGACAGGGACACCCTGCACGCATAAGCTTCAGTTTTTCACATCCGAAAGCTTTGACAAGGTGCCCATGTGGCTCTTGTACGCCAGCTTTGGGTCGCAGCCCCAGCCTCCCTGGCCGCGATGCCCCCCAGTGCAACAGCAACTCAGAGACCCAAAGACACCCGGAACCAAGACTGGCATCAAATTGAATGGACGCAGCACCGGATCCCCTACACCGCCATCCATGTGCAGGGCTGTTGCAGGCTTGACAAGTGGCGCTCTGGGTCAGCTTCCAAAAGTCCACGTGGACATGTCAATCCCATAAACATTGAATATCATTGAATCGAAAAAGAGCATGCAATGGGAGGCGTGAGCAAACGCGCACAGCCTGGAGGCAAACCAAGCTGGGCTCCCAAACTCTCAGTCTTGGTGATTCAGTTGGCACAATGGGCCTGCCCAATAGAACCTGCAATGTTCGTGGTTTCCCCAAGAGACCAGAAGGCCACATACTGAGAACTTCACTGTAAGCCGCATGGAGCATTTCCTTTACACGTCAGTTCCACATCCAGGCCGAAATCCGCAGCAACATTTGCCTTTGGAAGCAAGTGCAAGGGCCATCTCTAGTCATAGTTCATTTAGCCAAACTGACATGCCGTGCCATAGGTGCCGCGTCTGTGAAAAAACAATGAGTTGAGACGTATCCTGTGTACATTGAAGCAGCCAGGGCTTGAGCAACTTCCCCAAATCAGAGTCACAACTCTGACGATAGTTGCATGGGTCAATCGACCTCTTGCATAGGTTTACTCATTTGGTTGTCCAGTTCCAGGGATCTGTTGTGGCCCATTGCGTGCTACTCCCAGAATTCCCAAACGAACAACCGCCGCTTGTGCCGGATGGTTGGCGACAGCCTGGATCTCCGTCCCAGCCTTCACCAGGTTGGTAAAGATGCGCAGGGGGACGCACATCGCCTGCCTCAGCGGCTCAAGCCACGGGACTTTGAGGTAAGGCGGATTCCCGGGTGTCCGCCAGCAAAACATGGCACCAGGAAAACCGCCGCAGAAGGGGGACTCCTCTCATGGAGAAACCAGCTGCCAATGTACAGGGAGGAAGTAGCTTCCAAAATGGCAGATTGAGCCACTTCTGATGAGTCGTGTCCAGATCCGCTAAGGGATTGTGATAAGTGCCGGCTGTTCGTGCTGCCTCCCGAGGCTCACAATGATGAAAGCCCCATGGCGGTTGAAAGTTGGACAGCTGCTTGACCCATGAAAAATACCAGGTCTTGCAAGATACCAGTACCACTCAAACATATGCAAAGAATCAAAGCGGCGTGCACACACACACACACATTCCCATGCCTGGAACTGTCCCTCGCTCTGAAACCTGCATCTAGCTTGATTGTGGCTAGGGTGAGGCCTGCGTTTCAGAAATTGGTTCTGATCTCGGCGGGGATTGCAAATGAGCACACATAGACCTGGTGGCATGAACACGGGCTGTGCCAAGAGCCATTTACATCCATTTTCGGACAGCTTGCCAAATCCCTGCCCCCCCCCCCCCTCCCACCATTTAGTGCAAACCGACGAAGCTTGCACAAGAAGAATGCTCTGCAAATGTTCTGGGCCGCAAACACTGCATCTTTTACGGGGGGACGGCAAGCGTTTCCTTTTGGTTTCCCTTTAAATACCAATCAACATGGGAGGTTGTGAAAAAGAAATCTTGGTTTTTAGAGCTACACATCTGGGGGTACCTTTTTTTGTTTTTAAAGCTCATTACCGTTTCCACCACCTTAAGAACCACGTCTCACGTCCCGACGGCGAAAATCCGTGCGGCTTGCGCCTGTTGCGCAAGGTGCTGAGGTCCATCGGCGGTATTGAGCTGGGCACGGCGAAGTTGCTCACGAAGAGCGCCTGGGATTTGGGCGATATGGGGCTTGAACAAAAGGTCCTTCACATTGAGTGCCCCTTAGGGAAACCATAGAGAAAGATGACGTTTGCCACTCAATGGGAAAAGGTACCCATTGTCATTTTGGGGCCAGGAATATTGATCAACCCCAGGTATGTTTTGGTTTGTCCCAAACGGGGGACCCCTTTTTGGATGGGGGTCAAAGGAGGGACATCAGGTTGCACCTCCTTCTATAGTTGGCCACTGATTTGAGAAATACCGAAATGCGCCAAGGGAATCATTTTGGGAATGCGTGTAAAAACAAGTACCAGTTTGGAGATGTTTTCGGGGAACCCAAGAACACCGGCAAAGTATTTCGGAGGGGGGCCAAGTTTCTGCTTGCTGGTCTCTTCAAGGAAGAATGGCATCAAAAAGGGCCGCTTCCCCCCATCTTTCATTCCTTCTTTTCAAGCACGAAGTTCCGATGGTTTTGGACAGCTTTGGGATGTAATGAGACCGCCCAGACGCTGCCAGTAAGAAACTCTCGCATCTTGTGATGCATTGGACAGATCGTCAAGAAAAATGGACCTCAAATCACGCAAGCAGGGCCAAGGGATTGAAACCTGCTCCTCAAAATAGCCAAGAATGGCCTGACTGCTTGAGAACACTCTTGCCAAACCATCTCACTTTCTGCACGCCCAGCCTTCACCTTGACGTTGTAGTTGCTCCTCACGGCTATGTCTCACCAAGCAAAGCCGTGGCGAATGCAACACCACATCTTCTACGTCGCCTGAATCCACAGCCCGGAAAAAAACACAAAACATCACACAGCTGGCCTCTCTGCGACTGCGACTGAGGGCGGCCACACACACACACACAAAAATAAAAAACACACACAAAAACACACACACACACACACACACACACACACACACACACACACACACACACACACACACACACACACACACACACACACACACACACACACACACACACACACACACACACACACACACACACACACACACACACACACACACACCACAACACACACACACACCACAACACACACACACGCACCACAACACAAACACACACACACACACACACACAAACACACACACACACACACACACACACACACACACACACACACACACACACACACACACACACACACACACACACACACACACACACACACACACACACACACACACACACACACACACACACACACACACACACACACACACACACACACACACACACACACACACACACACACACACACACACACACACACACACACACACACACACACACACACACACACACACACACACACACACACACACACACACACACACACACACACACACACACACACACACACACACACACACACACACACACACACACACACACACACACACACACACACACACACACACACACACACACACACACACACACACACACACACACACACACACACACATACACACACACACACACACACACACCGCACACACACACACAACACACACACCACACACACCACACACACCACACACACCACACTAACGCGCACACGCGCACAACCAAAACGCGCCACATCCCACAAAAAAGATACGCGCACAAACCGCGCACGTAATAACGCGCCACACGCGCGCCACGCGCGCAACCCACGAAACACAGCACGCACAGCACGAACACGCACTTCGCACGCACACACACACACACACACACACACACACACACACACACACACACACACACACACACACACACACACACACACACACACACACACACACACACACACACACACACCACACACACACACACACACACACACACACACACACACACACACACACACACACACACAAACACACAAACACACAAACACACAAACACACAAACACACAAGCAGACGCACACGCACACGCACACGCACACGCACACACGCGCACACGCACACCAACACACGAACACACGAACACACCAACACCAACCCAACCCAACCCAACCCAACACAACATAACACAACACGCCACACCACAACACAACACAACACAACACACACAGAAACACACACACACACACGCGCAGACACACGCAGACACAGACACACAGAGACACACAGAGACACACAGAGACACACAGAGACACACAGAGACACACAGAGACACACAGAGACCCACAAAGACACACAAGGACACACAAAGACACACAGACACACAGAGACACACAGAGACACACACACAGACACACACAGAGGCACACACAGGCACACACAGACACACACAGACACAGACACACACACAGACACACACAGACACAGACACACACACAGACACACACACAGACACACACACACAGACACAGACACAGACACAGACGCAGACACAGACACACACACAAACAGACGCACACGCACACGCACACGCACACGCGCACACGCACACCAACACACCAACACACCAACACACCAACACTAACTCAACCCAACCCAACACAACACAACATAACACAACACGCCACACCACAACACAACACAACACACACACACACACACCACACACACACACGCGCAGACACACAGACACAGACACACAGAGACACACAGAGACACACAGAGACACACAGGGA